CGCATCATGGTGTTAGGTGTTGTTACGTTACCATCATGTACGCATCATGGTGTTAGGTGCTGTTACGTTACCATCATGTAAGCATCTCCGATAGTTTCCACTTTGTAGACATCGTACATATCGATTCTCGCATCGAACGCCGTGTACAACTTGTTAAGTAGATCCACGACCTACCGAGAGAAAGACGTAGTAAGATAGGGAGAGGGTGCGAGGGAGAGCGAGAGAGAGGGAGAGGAAGAGAGAGCGCGCGAAAGGGGGAGTCAGAGAGAGAAAGCGAGAGAGAGAGCGAGAAAAAGGGAAGAGAGAGAAGAGAGAGAGAGAGAGGACGAAGAAAGAGAGGAAGAGAGAGAGAGAGAGAAGAGAAGGCAATGGAACAGAGTGGCAACGCCCCCCCCCACCACGCAACACGCATATCACACGGACACACAACGCAGCACACAACAGCACCACAGATACACACAACCACACACGACACACACACACACAGCACACACACACACACACACACAGCACACGGTGCGGGCACACACACGACACACGCAACCCCCGGCCCCCCCCACACACCACATACATTCACACACACACACACCTCTCGCGCCCACAGCACATACACACACAGGCACCCACCACACACACAATACACACACACACACACACACACACACACACCCACACACACACACACACACCACACACACAGCACACACACACACACAACATCATCCCCACACACACACCACACACACATACCTGTAGGCGGCTTGCTCGCAGGGCGATATCGACGTAAAACCGGATGTCGCTGAAGAAGATCGTGACGGAGTCGTACGCCTCTGCGGCACCAAATGCGACCTTGTTTCATCGCTCCTTAGCGACGTCCTTTGGCAGCATCTGTGCGAGCAGCCGCTCCGTCTTCTCGCTCTCCAAGCCTCAGTTCGCAGCGTCTGCGCAGTGCAGGTACTCCGCGTAAGTTTCTTAATTCCGATGCTGAGTCGGTCACCTGCTACGACGTACCCAGACGACGATAGAACGGACAGAGGGCGCTGACGGCGCACATCACGAACGGCAGCGACGGCGCGAACGGCGACGTTGGCAGCAGGCGACGGCGTCGTCGGCAGCTGCCGCGAGACGGCGTCCGGCGGCGTGTCGCTCGAGAGAGAGTACGAGCGGAGAGGTAGAATGCCATGTTGTGCGCCAAGGCGGCGAGCCGGTCGCTGGTCGTGGCGGTGGCGAGTCGTCGTCGTCGTCGCGTTATGTGGCTGTGTGTTGGACATGAGCGACCGAGCCAGTCGGCGCGCACGGCCTGCTCAAACACGTCCAGGTTGCCGTGATTCGAGCTAGTCGCCACAGCGTGCAGCACCGGCGTCGTAGAGCAGGCCTCTGTGGAGAGCTCTCTCACCCGCAGATTCGGCTGCTCTGGCGAAGAAAATAAACAAATAACAAGTCAGTAAAATGTGAAAGTTAAAAAAGCACAATACACCCGCAGGTACGAATCAAATAAATTAATAAATATATCAAAATCTGCGGTGTAATTAAGGGGCATTTTTTTGATGATGTTTTAGCGTAATTCGAACACGCGGATACGCTACCAAAGAACGCAAATTCACTGCTATTGTAACGGTAGATGGCGGCATAACGTGCCGCTTGTTGGCCGCGCGACATCCGGCAATCTCTCGCGAAAATAAGTATAACGCGAAAACTCTCCACCCATGTAGATTTCAGGCTGACAATTAACGAAAGATTTATTCCTAATCGATAAATTGCGCCAGAACGAAATTCTGGCCGACAGTCGCCCCCCCCTACCATACGTATCGCCGTGGCCGGTGGCATATGTGTAGTTTATGATGAGAGAGAGTCACCCGGGAAGCGCTCAACGTTCGGCCGTCATGCTCAAGCGTAATATCTTATAAAAAGAACAAATTGAGCTTCTATGTTGGTGAAAGCACGTCTTATCATTAGCTTATTACAATCCGCAAGTAATGACTAGATCAATATAGCGATTTTAAAATTGAATTATCGTTTGCAATTTGAAGAAGTTTACCAGACATGACTTGATTATCGCTCACTCTATAACTATCTAACCTCTCTCTTCTCTCTCTCTCTCTCTCTCTCTCTCTCTCTCTCTCTATATATATATATATATATATACATAAAGCTAACTATAACCTAGAGGTTACCAATGACAATGTATAATAATAATAATAATAATAATAATAATAATAATAATAATAATAATAATAATAATAACTACGACTAAGCTATAACCTAACGATTGAAAGCACAAATGCACAAAGCTAAATTATAACGCAACCAACACTAACTGCACCGCTTATGCTGCAACTATAGCCGAGTATGTCATTACCTGCAACTATCCAGCCAACGATGACCTAACTACCAGCAATTGCAGATCCAATTGTAACCTAACCATGATAAACTATATAAGCCAATTATGGGCAGCACTGCTTACACGGGCAACATTAGGGCGTAAACTGGATCAAGGCACACAGTTAATTGCCTTACCAGCTTCATCTGATGCCCGTTTACGAGTGAAACAAGGTGTATATATATTCCGTAAACAACCGGCTCATTGCGGCAGTAAGATTAAGGCGTACGTGCTACGATAGCTAATCGGAGAATCCCAGGAGACGCTATCGCCGCCAGGCGGCGCCCTGCCTGATGTTAATTGATTCGAGAGGGAACGCGTGGGTGTAGTAATGCACTTGCTGCGACCAGACCGATGCTGGTCTGCTGTAGTCGTATAAGTGAGTAGGGATTTAAACAGGCATGAGAGAGAAATAATATTAGGCGAAAGAGAGAGAGAGAGAGAGAGAGGTGTATTGTAGCTGTGTGTGTGTGTGTGTGTGTGTTTGGTGTGTCAGTGTTAGTGTTGTGTGTGTGCTGTGTGTTGTGTGTCGTGTTTCCTGGCTCTACTCAATCTCTCTCTCTCTCTCTCTTTCTACCTCTCTCTACTCTCTCTCTCTACTCTCTCTCTTCTCTGTTTATTCTCCCCTCTATCTTCGCCTTACTCTTTCTCTTTTTCTCCTGTCTCCTCTCTTTCTCTCTCTCTTTCTTCTCTTTCTCTCTGTCTCTCTCTCTCTCTCTCTCTCTCTCTCTCTCTCTCTCCCTTTCGCCTAATATTATTTCTCTCTCATGCCTGTTTAAATCCCTACTCACTTATACGACTACAGCAGACCAGCATCGGTCTGGTCACAGCAAGTGCATTACTACACCCACGCGTTCCCTCTCGAATCAATTAACATCAGGCAGGGCGCGCCTGGCGGCGATAGCGTCTCCTGGGATTCTCCGATTAGCTATCGTAGCACGTACGCCTTAATCTTACTGCCGCAATGAGCCGGTTGTTTACGGAATATATATAGACCTTGTTTCACTC